CAAGACGGCCTCCAGAGGACCTCGAGACGGGCCGCGAGGGCCCCGAGACGCCCACGAACCGAAAATTCTAGCTCTCCGCCCCGAGAGGTCCCCAGAAGGCCCCACGAGGGCCCCGAGAGGCCCCCAAGAGGCCCCAGGAGGGCCCCAAGAGGCCCACAAGAGGCCCCAAGCCGCACCCAAACTGCACTCCAGAGGCTTCAAAACTGCCTCCACGAGGCCCCAGACCTCCTTCGCCCCGCCTCGCTCGCCCCGACCTCCTCCCAACTCCATTCTTCAGTGTGCTTCTTCATTCTGTCCTTGAGCGGAGCACCTTGCAATAGAACGAGGAATACGAGGAGTATGAGGACGACGAGAGGAGGATTACGACGACGGCGACGGGGTGAAGGAGGAGGGAGGGAGGAAGGAGGAGCGAGGAGGTGAAAAAGGAAGAGGAGGAGCGAGAGAAGAGAAATATATACCAGATCATATTAACACAGCTCTCCTACGTTGACCTTAGCTGTCAAGAGCTATCCATAATAGGTCCTTGCGTACCCGAATCTCGCAATACCCAATGATTCGGTGCATTTGGTCCAGCTAGGGTCTCCAGTTCAGCGCCAACAGGATCTGAGAATGAGCACGGACTAGATAATCTGGACCATCCCCAACTCCCGTGGGAACACTACCTTGCGTCACTGGGCCCACTTCCCAGTGGCGCCCGGTTACGCTGGGATGGAAACAACATTGCTCGTGAGGCTCCCTTGAGCCGTCGTGGCTCCCTTGACCAATCTGCTGCCAGCCGTCTTGGCGGCCAACTGGCCGAAGCTTCTGTGAGCCATCTTGGCCGCTAACTGAGAGCATACATGTCGAAAAGCGCAAAACACCTGAGGATGTGCCTCAGCCGGGGTATCTCCGAAAGCCCCTGCGACACGCAATGCTTGAGTGGTGTACCGAGTCCGATTTTCAGTGATCCTCAGACGCAACGCGGTCTGGACCACCACCCTCGAACGGGCACGCACGGAACGCACCACGGACGTTCCCGTGACGCAGCACGTCTGGACCTGGGGGGCACGATCCTTGAGCGGACACGCAAAGAATGCAGCTGGGACGGTCCTGGGACGCACCATGATCTAGACTCGGGGCGCATCATCTTCGAGCTGGCACGCACATAATGCACCTGGGACGCTCTAGGACAACGAGACAGTGCCTGGACCCGCGACGCGCCGTCCTCGAGAGGGTGCGCACGGACTGTCCTGGGGTCCGATCCTAATTCCAAGACAGATCTGAAGACGGGAGCTGGTGACCCCCACACACAGAGGGATAGCGTGGCGAGATTGATCCTCGACCACTGCTGCGTCGTCAGCTGCATGTGCCCCGAGAGAAGCCCCTGGCAACTCGCGAAAGATGCAACCGCCGACGGCGGAGGGAAAACATTATCCTGGCGAAGGACACAATCATATGCAATTGTGAGTAACGCGTTGTGAGTGCCGCTTTCGGTGGAACTCCCTATGGGGCCACGAAGCGCGTGATGGACGTGCCGTAATGGGTGTGGGAGACGCATGCGGGCGGTGCCGCTGGGGCCTTCGGTGGGGCCCCCTATGGGGCCACAAAACGCTGTACTGGGTGTGGGGTCGCATGCGGGCGGTGCCCCTCGCTGGAGTTCCCGATAAGGCCACGATGCGCTGTTCTGGGTGGGGGAATCGCATGCGGGCGGTGCCGCCGGGGTCTCTCTGTGGAGCTCCCTACGGGGCCACGAAACGCTGTATTGGGTGGTGGCTGACGCATACGGGCGTTGCCACCGGGGCCTTCGGTGGAGCTCCCTATGGGGCCGCAGGAGGGGGGGACGCATGCGGGCGGTGCCACTGGGGCCTTTGGTAGAGCTCCCTATGGGGCTACGAAACGCTGTACTGGTGTGGGGTGTCGCATGCGGGCGGGCCACTGCGCCTTGGTGGAGCTCCCAATCAATGGGGCCGCAAAGTGCAGTACTGGGTGGTGGACGCATGTGGGCGGTGCCACTGGGGTCTTTCTGTGGAGCTCTCTATGGGGCCACGAAGCGCTGTACTGGGTGGTGGCTGACGCATGCGGGCGGTGCCACTGGGGTCTTTCTGTGGAGCTCCCTATGGGGCCACGAAGCGCCGTACTGGGAGGTGGCTGACGCATACTGGGACCGTCGGTGGAGTTCCCCATGGGGCCCCGAAGCGCCGTACTGGGAGGTGGCTGACCCATGCGGGCGGTCCCACCGGGACCTTCGGTGGAGCTCCCTGTGGGGCCACGAAGCGCTGCACTGGGTTGGTGAAACGCAGGAAGGAAGGGCTGTGCTGGGTGGTGACTGACGCATGCGGCCGGTCCCACTGGGACCTTCGGTGGAGCTCCCTATGGAGCCGCGAAGCGCTGTACTGGTTGGGCGAAACGCAGGAAGGAAGGGCTGTGCTGGGTGGTGGTTGACGCATGTGGGCGGTCCCACTGGGACATTCGGTGGAGCTCCCTACGGGGCCACGAAACGCTGTACTGGTTGGGCGAAGCG